CTAAAACATCACATTAGTGAAATAAAAAATGACATATGGAGTTTAACAAGGGTCTGTCCTAAGCCTAAAATAGTTTATTATGTACTATATTGCTATGTGAAGCTGAAAAGATATGTATGTATCCTATTTGCTGATGACAGAATCTTATGTTGCTTTTGGAAACAGTAGGAACTGAACTAAGATGACAAAAAAAATATGTTGGATGTCAATAAACTATGATCGAACTGATTAACTGACATAATGTCATGTAAAACTCCTTAATTTATTATGATCATTGTGTTGAAATCTGCTGGAATAATGATAAAAACAAACATTTGGCTAATTTCAAATGACAAGATAAAGCCACCAGACTTTTCAATTAAGCAGAATTCTTTAAATTTACTCATTAAATAACATCAAATACCTTTTTTTAATGACTTTGTTGACCTAAACGCAGCAGTTATGATGCACAAAAAGCACAAGATTCCTTTTTCTTAGATATTCCAATATCTAAGAGATATTTCAGATTCTGAAACTGAGTTGCTACCTAAGAAATACTGGTAGCCATGGTGAGGGCCAGTTTAGTTGGTGTGTTTCCATCAGAGAGGTTAATCTAATGAATTGCTTGGAAAATCAGTTTAAGACTAAAACCATTGAAACACTAAAATTGAGGGGCAATTGTTTTGCATGTGACGTTTAGGTAGATATGAACAAAATAGAATAAAACAAAAAGATAATCACAACAATTATGATAAAAATAAATGAATTCTTCATATTAAATTTTAATGCCATTGCTGTTGTTGCGATGGCATTGCAATGTTGTGCCATTACAATTATTATTATCCTTTCTTTTTCTTTTTTGATTTATTGACGATTTTTGAGGGATTCTTAAGGGATTAGGGTAAATTGCAAATTTCTTTTTGCCTGTGTTATGGGATTCAAATGTATAAATGATTGTAAGATAATAATAAATACTGATGGGTGACATTCTTTAAAGACTAATCTCCAATCTTTTTCTACCAAATCCAATTAATCTCCCCTCAACTAAACTTCTCCCTCTGGGAGATGACCTTAAGTTAAAGGGCAACGAATTTCAAGCTATGAAACAAACTTGTTAATCATATTTCACAACAAACACTTAATGTCTGCAGTAAGTGGTATTAGAAAGTTACCTATAATCAGTTATGAGGAGACATCTAAGAACGCAGTGTAATGAACTGTTGTCACTCTGAGTGAGTGGATTGGGAAAAAAAGTTCTGACTTTTCACAAATCTTCTTAAACAAACAATCATTAAAATTAAGGCAAATTGTGTTTCTTTATGCAGTAAAGAAGGGTTCAGACAACCACAGGTCTGCAGACACATTTTCTGTAACCTATCGATTAAAACTTGGCCCTGTATAAACTTCATTAAGCAGTTTGAATCTTAGATTGTCTTCTTAGATGAACAAAGAGGTCAGCATTCACCCTCTAGTCATCAATGAGCCAGTTCATCTTGTTCCTTCCTTTCGAGTATTTTTGTCAGAAGCTATTGATCAAGATCACTTTAATATATCACAATAAAGTCTGGGTCCTGAAGGGAAATAAACATGAAGCAGGGAGAAGGAGCAGTTCAACTTAAACCTACCGTAGTTCGATACAAAAAAATCTGGCTTAGCTAAACTTTTCCATTTGCAACGAGCTGCACGTTTAAAGGAGGCATTGTGAGCGGTGGCATCACACGTTTATCAAAGTGACACTTTAATAGTATCTCATTGTGGGTATGCATAAAGCTGAGTGGTTTATTGTGCAATTTCTTCAGCGTGGAGGATGACATGATGTGTGTGTGGGTGCCCCGATATAACCTGTATTTCCAGCACAGGTCCGTCTGTACGTCCCTCATGATGTGACCACCGAACTTCATGCAAACCCAACCTGCATCCCCCGTTAAACTCATGCAACTGCTAGTTCTGCTGTGCTACCACTGACACCCATCGGACGGAGCACTGATTATTTCTTCATCGTGTAATCTTTTGGTGGGTGGTATATATTACTCAGTAAGTAAACACTGCTCTCTGTTGATGCATAAGAAGCTGAAAAAAAAAGTTCAAGGATTTAAAAACAAGTTTGAGAAGGGCAATATTGGGATTAGAAGACCTCTAAATGAAAAGCTTAATATGTGCATATTAAGCTGAAAATTACACCTAGCTGATAGAAAGTCTGTTAAAGTTATCTCTTTAAGAAGCAGAAAAAAACACATAACATTTTATCTTGTGTAAATTTCAAGGATGTTTAAAAGTCTCGAAGAACTTTTGAAGAAAACCCACTTAAAAAAAAAAAAACTAAGCAGAGAGTCATGTAGTTCTACAGGAGAACACATTTGACCCACATCAAGGCAGAATAATCCAATTCTGAGGTGTTGTGGTGCGTGTAAACTATATGTAAATGGAAAGAACTTAAAATGTGATGGGGTTGGTGTCATTGTGAGGATGCATGTGACTAAGGGATTGGTTAAATCCTGAAGGCAACCATTAATTTTCAAGTTAACATACCATGCTTTTAAATCCTTCCTTCAATTGTTCAAATAAATTGTCTAAATCCTGGGCTGCAGAGTAGAAGAGTGGGTAGAACTGCTGCCTTCCAGCAAGGGGTTCCAGGTTCAATTCCCGTCCTGGAGTCTTTCTATATTGTGTTGTGTATTCTCCTGGAGCAGGTGTTGGTTCTCTCCAGGTACTCTGGCTTCTTCCACAGTCCAAAAAATATGACTGTTAGGTTAATTGACTTCTCTAAATTCCCCTTAGGAGTGGGCGTGTGCGTCAATGGTTGTTTGTCTCTGTGTTTCCCTGCCGTGGACCAGCGACCTGTCCAGGCTGCACCCCACCTCTTGCCCATTGACAGCTGGAGATATGCTCCAGCACTCTTCGTGACCCCAGCAGGGATAAGCATGAAGGAAAATGGATGGTCTAAATTCCTCATTATTGTAGCTTCATAGTTTAGTTCAGTCATTTTTGCAGTTTCATAGCAGTGATGCTATCAGAGCTAGTGTCCTGCACGGGTCTGATTTTGCAAAAGTGTATCCACAACTGTAGAGTTCAAAACCGAGACCGTCATTGCATTTACATTGCTGCCAGAAATAAAAACTACAGATTTGCCAAACTGGTAAATCTGAAGTCTATGACTTTGTTGTTTCCAGGCTCTAAACAAATCAAAGTGATGTTATAGTTTGAAAGATGTTTCAGAGGATTAAAAAAGATGACCAAAACAGAACATAAAGGTATCAACGCAGCATCTGGAGAGACCACAATCAACTTTTTTTGTACTTCTAGTATCTCAAAGTACACAGCAAAACAAATTTGAGCACTGAAAAGGGGGATTTCGTAGGAATTATCCTTTTTAACACTGGTAGCTACAGCTAAACAAAAGCACTGCTTTAATGCAGTTTCTTCTCCATTTTAGTCGCTAAACAATGAAGGGATCTTTAATTATATCGGTGCTAGCTTACCTCACATTAGATCGTTTAAATATCATCTCCTGTCAGCGTATACACCAAATGAAATCGAAATGTGTTTGCTAATGAATCAGCAGGGATGCCTCCAAACCCTAAAGTTCCTGATTCAAATGTTGGTTGAGCCCTTTCTGTGTTAAGGTTTTTGTTTTTCTCATGGACCATATTTTGCAGAGTACTCCAGCTTTCCTTCACTCTTTAAAGACATGCATGTCTTTATAACTGACTTTAGTTGTGCGTTTGATTGGCTACCTGTCCAGGCTGCATGGCCTCACTTGTTTGATGACTGCAGGGTTAGCAGGTATTGATCACTTTAAAAGGTTCTGAGAAAGCTCAGCTCCCTTGAGGTCAAATAGAAAGCAATTCGAGTTGATTTCAAATGTGTGCACAACACGGCCTGCAGTATGGCTTAGTCTGGAACAGCCGCTTAACATCTGTAAATGAATAGAGTTTTTGAACTCTCTTTTATCCCCACTACACACTGACATCAGCTCTTCACTTCTACACCAACACAGCCAGATAGTGGCTCCTAATCCATCCATGGATGAAAGTTCACAAATTCCCTGCTGCAAAACGAGCTCAAAGCTCGACTGTTTAAAGAACCGCTCCACTGTCATTACCCTCCTGGCACCCAGACCCTGAAAAGCATGTGTTGGTTACTATAATAGTGCGTGGGTGATGTCCCCGCATTGTCATTGTCCTGCAGAATAAAAAACTAAACTCCCAGTCATGTTTGTGGCACATAAAAAAACGCCCCCAACAAGTTCTTCCCTGCAAAGCCTTTGCTTCTGTGTAATCATTTGCACGTTGTAAAATGACCTGCTGTCCCTTTTCAGCAGAGACAAAGGCATCTATAGATAGATTGAACAGAGGTGGAGAAAATGACAGCACACGTTCTACAGAAAGAACCGTTCAACCGAGAACTACATCTGCTGTTGAATTTAGAGAACAACTCCAGCTTACATCTGCTCCTGAGCACTGATATTCTTTTACATGCATCTGTGTCCATGTTCATTCATGCTTGGCTTGCCAGTGTACACTACAGTCAGCATGTCAGGGGAGCCAAAGAGTGGTTTACAGAGTGATTTTCTGCACGGGCAGGCATTTTAGTGTGAACACTGAGCTGCTCTGTGCACCACTTCGCTATCCTTGACAGGCATGCAGACGTATGTGGGTGGGATTATCAGTCTGTCACAAAGATAAACCTACATTCAGTTATATTGTGTTTTAATATCTGATGCACAAACATTTCATTTATTCCAAGCTGTGGGAAAATCATTCCTGTGCTTGAATTAAGGAGCAAATAATCATCTTACATTTCTGCATCTTCAGCAGATTCTCTCAATGTTTGCTTTAATGTTTCACATGAATGCAGTTAACTTGAACATTCGAAGCCCCCCTCCCACCTCCTGCTGCACATACAGACATACCCCCTACTGACACTCTCTGCACAAACATGAAGCCAAACAAAAAGCAAGCGTCCTCAGCTTCCATGCAACTCGGTAATGAAGAAATGAATTAAACAGGAAAGAGTCTTACTTTCTTTTATAATTCCTGGTGAAAAAGAATTCCCTCCAATGGAGAAAAAAAGTGGGAATAAGAGAGAGAGGAGGGGAAAGCCCAGCGGCTGCCAGTTGCAGATAATTAAGGAGTGAGTAGAGACAAACAGGAAGATGCAACCATAAAAACCTTCCTCCTCTAACAATGACCGCCACCTTTTAGAGATTACAGTTTGTCCCGTCTGCTGCTGGACGCTGAGGAGCGGAGCAGCATCATCTTCATCAGCTCCTCGCCTCTCCTCCTCCTGCAGCAGCAGCTCTGTAGTAACACTTCTATCTCTTTGGTCCTACAGACTCCTCATCCATCCCTCTTTTCGTCCCTCCCCTTCTTCAGCCCTCCTCGTACTGGTTGGCTGTCTTTCTTACCCCCTCCTCTCTCCTTTCCTCCCTTACCTCTCCGTCTCCCTCCATCTCTCCCCTCCTCTGTCATTACCCAGATACAGGGCATACCCCTCCCTCCTTCAGTCCGTCTCTTCCCCCTCTTTCTCTCTGTATCTTTGATGTTTGAGAGTTAGACTCTCAGCTGTGAAAAGATTTTTTTATTCTCATCTTTTACAAGAGCTGAGAGCAAAAAACACAGAGGGATCCACCCAACCTTGCAGAGACACTCAGATACGTAAAATAAAGAAGAGATAATCCTCTAATTACCACGCAAAACAACCACGAGGATTTCCACAGCCTCTCCTCACAATTAAACACAATCAAAGACAAATTAAAGCACAATGTGGAGAGGAGCAGCCAGAATGTGTGTTTTCTCACACCCACAGACATGAATAAGAAATGAAAAGATGTGTATAAGAGGATGAGGGAAGCCACTGCTGCAACGCTTATTATCATACAGAGAGGAGGATGGAGGAAAGGAGCTCTGTGGGTGGAGGAGAAGGAGCTTTCTACAGACGAGCTGAGCTGAATAGCAAAGAGAAATTAAATCCATTACTCCATCATTGGTCAGACTCTGTTTGATGAGCCAACCTGCTTTTTATAGCTTAAAATTGGAGCGAACAAGGCATGGTAGGATTGCTGTCTGCAGGACATCCACCTTTAAACACTTGAAAAGATTTTACTTGCATCAAATCCCTTTGATGGGAGCATGAAAGCGGTTTCATTTGTTGAAATTTACTGCGGAAATATTCAAAGAAAAACAAAAAAATCAGAGCCGGCCCAAAGCACAATAGAGTTTAGCAGCTGCTTGGAGGCAGCAGGTCACCAGGAGGCTCCCTGAAAGCTTTCTTAAGTCTTGGATCTGGGAATGACCACATCTGCTTAAAAAGAACAGGCTAATTATTATGTTTAATGAGAAAACTAAGTTCTATGAGCTATAGCAGATGTTCCTTAAACGCTTGATATATCTATAAAATTAGAGAGAAAAAAAACATTTTAAAGAGTAAGAAATTAAAAATAAAATGGCTAAAATAACCTGCAATACTTTACAAAAAAACTGAAACTGTTATGTATGAACATGATGGTACACATATCCATCCATAGTGGCAGCTCAGGGTCACACAGTGCAAACAACTATGTACACAATCAAAACAAATGGCAATTTAGAGAAACTAATAATTGTAAGACCATGTTTAATGACTGGGAGAGGAAGCCGGAGTACTGAGAGAGAAAACATGCATGCAACTGCAGAGCATCCCCCCCACAGCTACGATTCAAACCCAGGACCACTGTGCTGCAAGGCATCACTGCAGAAGCTGAAAACATATTCTCCAACTCGCATATCAACTGATCTGTCCAGCATGGAATTAAACAAACTTTGCATGTGTTGTTTTTTTTTAAGAATTTGCCCACTTTTAAATTTCAAGGGATGCTTTTAAGAAAAAAAAAAAAAAAAACATTCACATTTACTAAAATGTGAAAAAGAATACCATATGTCATACCTTTATTCTACAATTTTAATCATTTCCTCTGGTTTTAATGTGTCAAGATAGGTCAAAGACAAAGTGGCAAAAAAACTCATTAACTAACAGCCCATTAAACTCGACCCTTAACCTTAAATATAGACAGTCTATAGAAACATTATAAAACAGCACAACTAACGGACAAAAATGAGGATGAGATTTCACTCATTCATTTAGATTTCATTTGGTTAAAATAAAATAATATTGTCTCAAGGTTTGTTAATATTTGCTTTTATATTACAGCAAAATTAACTAAAAATAAAAATAAATACCGGTTATTTGTTTGTTCGATCCATTTGCCTCTTAACAGATTCACAGCTTTAACCTTGTTATCCTTGAAAGCACCTTCTCATCAGGCAGGGGCAAACTGATGTCCATGTCAAAATGATGGGAAATTTTGTGAAATCTACTCTTCAAAGTTAATAAGACAATACTAATAGCTTTGGTTAAATTAGCACATAAATGATGAGATTAGATTAGATTAGATTATATGAGCTTTATTGATCTCACAGCGGAGAAATTCACTCGTCACATATTGGCATAGAGGTTACAGAAGGTGCAAACAAGGAGGAAAAAGGAGATGGTTTCTGAAAAAATGTAATTGAAGGGATGAGGTAGAGATGTGTGGAAAACACTTGTAACAGCCTGGCTCAATAACAGCTCAAATCTATAACAGCTGAAAAAGAGAACATTTTAATTGTTTAAATGGTCCAGCCAAGGTCTGAAACCTAACTGTCTGAATTGCTGCGGTAAAATAAATGCCTGAAACTCAACACATAAATCACAAATCAACACAAATACAAATCAACAGAGAATGAAACCATTCGATGTTCTAAAATTAGGAGCCTCAAAAACACTGTTCTGCTCAGAAATAATCAGTAAAATAAATCAGGACATAGATAAACTCAGAAGAAAGCCTACCTGTAGTCAGGTAAGCTATTAATTATGAATAGTTAGAAAGACAAAGATGTTTAGCAGCTTAGAAGAAAAACATGAATAAATGACATTTGGTGATTTTTTTTTTTTTTTACAGAGCCGAATACATAAAAAGGCCTCAGCATATCCTTACATCAAATCTCAGGCATGATGAGGGAGCCCTGCTTCTACACTGAAACTAAAACATCTCCTCCAAGTGATATTAATAACAACAAGCCCCTCCAACACATTCAGCACCATTAACATCCCATCTATTAGCCACATGCTGCGCATTCACAATCAGATGTGAATGAAATAAACCCTCGCACAGTGGGGGCTGTCCACCTCGTCGCTTACTCTGTGACTCATGCTGAGGTAACTTTCACACTGCAGGTATTAACGCCGCTGCTAATCTGCAGGTTTCTTAAAAAACTGGGTTTGTTCCAGTTTGGCATTCAGCATCCGCTGGTACCTGTTCTCTAACCGATCAAATATTCAAAAGCAAATTAAAAACAGATATTTTCATCAGCTGATGCTCAACCAAGGGAATAAGTGATGAATACCTTGAGAGTAGAAGTATTTATGCTACTGCTTAAAACACTTTTGTAGAAGTTAGAGTATAAACTTAAGCTTTTACTGAAGTAAAAGTGTAAAAGCACCTGTTTTAATACTTAAAAGTATAAAAGTAAAAATAATGCAGGAAAAAAGTAAGGACAAGCGTCAAACCTAACACTGCACTATTCTATTAAAGGACATTTTTTCTACAATTCTGAATTATATAGTTAATTTCTTTTGTTTTTTAACTGATAACTATCAAATTTAACTTTGCATCATCTTGAAAAAAAAACTATTTTGGTATTTGGCTAACAACACATTGGTGAGTCCAACTACTAAGAAACTAATTGTCACGATTAAACAAGTTACTTTGAAGATTTTTATGTATTTTTGTAATAACAGGCCATAATGAAAATTAGCTTAAATGTAAGTAGAAAGTAGAGATAAGTGAGATATGTAATGAATAAAAGCATAATAATTTCTCCAGGGAAGTATAGATAGACAACATTTCTGCTTAGATAAGGTAACAAAGTATTTTTTTATTGCTTTAACAGCAATAAGATTTAGCAAAGGAATGTAGCCAATACAATGAGGGCTGTGACTTTTCTACTCATTACTGGGCCTCTGCTGTCAGGGAGGTAGGAGGTTTGCTGCAGCTAGAATAGAAGCCGATCACATGTCACCTGGAAACTTACCTTCAGCAGCTCTGCAGCTTCCTCCTCCTGCGCTGAACTTCATCCGTTCAACAATCAGTGATTGTGTCACCAGCTTGCTATTCTTAAAGAAAACTCCTGCAGTAAGGTAACCCAGCTGGTAATTGCAGGGCAGCAGCTGCAGAATGAAACTGACGTCTTCTTTGACGTATTTCACTCAGGCTTGAGTGCTAACCACAGTACAGACTGCCTTCATCAAGGTGTTCAATTACATCCGTATAAATGGAAGAACCACATTGCGGGTATTATTATTATTATCTTTGTGATGCAGAGATATAAGTTTGCAGACGACACACAGCTGTATATTACAATGCTGCACATCATATGAACCCATTCCAGAACTGGGTAAATGCATGGAAGAAATCTACATATGCACCAACATGTTCTCCTGCTAAATCAAAACAAAACTAAATGGTCTTTGGACCAAAAGCAGGGCGTTCAAATGTTAGCACACAGCTTCAGTTAATCCAGCTAGAAAGCAGCAATCAGGCTCTAAATCTGGGTGTAGTTAGGGACTCAGACTTGAACCATCAGATGCTCATAAGACAGGGACAAACCCAGCCTTCCATCACCTTTGCAACTTCTCCAAGATTAAGGTTAAGGATTTATATTTCTTTAGCAGGAAGTGATGGTGATTGGCTGGAGCAGAGGTGCATGATGAGGTGATTGAATGCAGGTGATGCTGGGATGAGCATAGATATTTAAACATCTATGCAGGAGTCTTTTTCAATCCTGTTTCTCATACCAGAGCAATCTTTAGTTGAAGTGATGATGTATTTAAGCATCCTCTGAAGCACATTCCAAGTTAGATGCTAATTTGCATGAGGATGCATCTTCAAAAGAACTGAGTAAAGCTTCTGGTTAACTGTTTCAAGTTCTATTTCAGTTTTATTGCTATTTGCAACTTTAATGCTGTGAATCCCAGAGCTCCAAAAGTATCCAGCTGCTTCTGTTTAGTTCAATCTTGTTTAGTCCATCCTGTATGAAATTTTAATTTAGAAAAAAAATAAATAAATACAGATCTAGGTAGAACTTTAAGTTTCTTTCCCAAAACAGTGAGGAAAAAAACAAAATGGGTTTTCTATGCATAGAATTGTCTTTTTAAAGAGTAGTTTTAAAAGTTATTTTAATCAATCATTTTGATACTTAATTTTACTTTTATATTTAAGTACAATTTTGAACCGGAACCTTTTTACTTTTGTGTAAGTAATGGAGTTTAATCTGTATATTTTTATTTTTAATCAGTACTTTAACTTTGTATCATACTTTAATTAAAAATGTGAGTTATTTGGAAATGTTTGTGTGAAGCACAATATTGTTAAACAACAAAAAGACAAAACAAATATTTCAATGAAATGAAGATGTTGATGTCACAACTTGTCGGATGTTTTTTGCTAAAACATTTATTTGCTAATTTTAGCTGAGAAATGTAATGTTTTTCCAGTTCTGCAGAGAAACAATCTCTTTTATATATTTTTAAAACATTCCTAAAGTACAATTTCAATGCAAAATATATTTTTTTGCTATCCTATTAAAAAGACACTTTTAATAGAATACATTTCCTTCAAGACTACTAGTATTTTGACCTGATTTCCATCACCTTTAACAACCTTCCTCTGCTATTAAAATGACATCAGTGGAACAGCCATTCAAATAGTAGCTGTGTTTTTATTCCTAAGTTTCTCTCATCAGGCTTCCTGCTCGTTTTGCAGCTTTAATTAATGTATATCTGCACAGGAACAGCTTCCTTTTAAAATAAGTATTCGTCATTGTTTCATTCAACCCCTGTAGCAGTAAAAATGTACTATACCCCACTACTGTAGATGCATCATCTCCATCTCATTCTCTTTAAGGCCATCATTATGAGAAATATGTTACACTTGGCAACAGAAATAGCAGCTTGGCTGAGAGCTCGAAAGAAAAGACAGAAGTGGCAGAAATGGGTCATATGCTGCAAAAGAGAAGAGGATCTAGGCGAGAAACGCTGCTTTTAGGATGAAAGGAGCAGAAGAGAAAGAAAAACGAGCAGAGGAAGAAGGCTCATTTTAAGAAGGGAACAAACGTTTACAGAAGGAAGCAGCTTTTGTCTAAACACTGGATTGTAGCTTTAACCATATGCATGTAGAATTCAGCTTTTATTGAATTGTTTAATCACGATCAGACACAAACTAAGAACACTTCCATGCCTGCTAATCTATGGCAGTCAGAGAACGTGCTATGGAGAGATTAAAGGCAGGGTTAGGTTTAAAAACAACAGCTTTCAACATAGCACAGAGTTCCGGTAAATCTATCGCCAATTCCTGTCCTAAAGGAGTGCTTTTCTGCTTCTACACTACTGAAGTAAATTAAATAAAAACAGCTTTTGAGAGATCAGTTATAGTACAGCTTTAGATAAAAGCATACTGTAGTTATTATGTGTTAAAATGCTCCTAAATTAGATAATCTGCAGCAAGACAGTGAAACAGATGCATCTAATCTGACTCAAAATCTGAAGCGCAAATCAAAGGCTGATTAAACATTTTACCAGAGCTGTGTTTGGAGTGAGAGGTTGATTTACGGAGTCCTGGCTCAGATGGGCTGAATAAAAATGTATGCCACAATACGGCTGGGCAATAAATCAATATCAAGATATATTATGATAAACACCTAATCAGCATCAGTAAACAATACATCTATTTACATTTCCAGTGATACAATGAAACGCCGATCTATAACCACTTTGGGGAATATAGGCAGTTGAAAAGATTTAGTCTCTGGAACGCAAACTAAGCAAGACTGGTGTTTAGCTGACTGATTTTAAAGGTTATTTTTGAAAAGGGTTACGATTTAAATTCAGGCCTTTTCCCCCCCGGTCTTATTTCAAATATGTAATCAAAACGCTAATCAATAATATGATAGGTATAGATATGATAAATATGAAAGGCTAATATCATGATACAGATTTTAAGCCGTACTTGATGCATTTCAAAAGAATTTAAAAAGGAATAATGATATTTTTACTACTTCTTTTGTAGGCAATAAGAAATGTGTTAATTTTGCCACATAAAGTCCTGTAACACTGGAGTTTGTTGTAACGTGAATAAATGTAAAGAGCAAAAAATGCAAAAGGTTTGAATACTTTAGCTACATACTCTTAAAATTGGATCCGAAGCTGCACTATGTTTCTGCTTAACCGTGTTTTGAAGTGGATTTCTCTCTGTTATTTATTCTATTGTACAATATTAACCTTTAGATAATGAAAATAAAAATAAGGTAATTCGTTTTTTTTAACCTGCTGCCATATTGAAGTTTCTGCTGAGTGATAATTAGCCCCACAATCCTCTAGAACCAACACGATTTTGCTGCAATAAACTGGTCAGCCTGAAGTTTTCATTGCTTAAGAAGAACATCTAAATTTAAGGTTCTGGAAAACTGCTTAATAAACTGCAACAATCTTAGCAGCAGCTTCCCGTATATTTGGATGCTAAGTTTATAAATGTCTGAATATAATAAAAACTGTTCAAATGATTTTGTTTCCATTTTTCTCACTGCAGATGCTCTTACAGCATCCTGCTATCAATGCCGAGTAAGCTCTGCACTGGCGGCAAGGCGATTCTGCAGGATGCATCTCCCACTTAGACATGTCTGCGACTGAACCTCTCAGCTTGTAGTTTTGGTTTTGAGAAAATGTTCTAAGCAACCGTTTGAAGCATTTGAGGCTTGATCCAAATTAACAATGAAAATTAAATGTACTACTTTTATAACTCATGTATCTCATAACTAAAATGAGATGCAAAAACCAAATTAGTGAGAGGATGATATAATATAAAGACAATGTTCACACATTTACTCAGTAACTCTTCTCTGGGACTTAAGTTGTAGCAGCCGTTTATAAGAACAGTAAATGAGCAGAAAAGCAGCTCAGGTCCAACTCAACATTTTTAGGAAGGTTTTCAGTTTATTAGGAAATCTAAAATTAAAGGTTGGAATCAAAATATAATAAACCTAAGGGATTTAAACTTTTACACATTATTGGCCTATTATCTCATAATATGGTCTTAAAGAAAGAAAGGTAAAGGACAAATGTACTACAAAGAATCATCTTTAATGCTATAGGCTACATTTGTACATTTCTACAACAGACTTCCAGTTGGACTAACAGCCAATTAGAAAAAGAACCAGCTAGTTTCATCTGCAACAGTTAAAAAACTGGACGTCTTTAAAATTAAATATGTCATGTAAATATCATCATGTCCCATTAAATAACAATATTTAAAAACAAAACATTTAATATTCTGAACAATCAACTTGAAATATAAATTACATCAAAGCACCTTCCCAAGAGTGAGGGTATCAAAATAAATAATTGGCCTTTTTTTTTTCAGAACAAGACAGTACATCTTAATTGTAGCAATGTGCGACTATTCAGTTACGAGAACCCTCCAATCATATGAAGTCCAACTTATTTAAATTACAGTACATTGTGACAAAAAAGCAGGGAAATGTTAACAACCTCCATAAATGAACGTAGAACATAAAAACTATAAATAAAGTAACATTGAAGGAATCCTTCTGGGGAGGTGAGAGCTGAAGTAAAGAGTGCCCGGGTTATGTAAGAGGATTGTCACATTTGTTGATGCAACAATAACGTCTTGCAGGACGACTGATTGATTCACCCACTGGTCCTGGATTCATTGGAGTCTGTACTGCATGTTCATGCACAAATCTTCAGTTGGTGACCTAATGAGCCACCGTCGCGTCAACAGCATGCATGAGAGCTTAATGTGGATATTAAAAAAATGTAGAATTCAACAAGTGCTTGAAAACATCACAAGAATATCAAAGACTGAGGCAAAAAGCTGCCTCTTTAAACTCCACCGAAAAGAGTACCGGCAAACAGTTCTGCTGGATTCTTGTTCTACAACCGCTTATGGTATAAGATTTAGGAAAAAAAAAAAGAAAATCATAAATTTATGTTACAGTACAGACGAAGGGATTTAATTTAGTACAGTAACTGGCAAAAGTATTCGATCCCCTCAAACCTTTTCACATTTAGCCATGTTAAAACCACAAACTTCAATTTTAAAACAAACAAAATAGCCTGCCGCATTATTCCAACATTCCCTCCAAAAACATGAAACACAGTAGTGGCCGGATCATGCTGTGGGGATCGGTTTATTCAGCAGTGAGTTGATCAGAGTTTACTTAAAGAGGAAAAAAAGAGGACTTTAGACTGGGGTGGAGGCTCACCTTTAAGTAGGGACAGCAGCCCTCTGCTTACAGCCAAACTACTATGGAACTAGAATGGCCTAGCCAAAGCAAGAAGCTGAAGAGATCCACATAAAAAAGGAGAGAATATCTCAGAGCAGGTTAACTCTTAGCACTTTACAAGTCCAAGTGTAAGGGAAAAAGGAAAAAAGACATTGTTGGAGAAGAAGACAAAAGCAGGAGCTCTGGTCAGATGAGAAAAGAAAAAAATGATTTTCTGGCCTACAAGCAAAACGCCACAGATGATAACATTCCCCCATTTTTAAACATGGTGTTGGGAGCATCATCCTATGGGGATACCTTTTTTTCTCCTTAGAGGTAATAAAAGCTGTGAGAGTTGATGCCAAAATAGATTAACTAAAATACAGTGACCGACTTTAAGGCTGACATGGAATGGTTTAGGCGTGTGGTTCTAGGTACCGCTCACGGTACTTCAGCTGCCTTTAGTGGTACACTGAACCAAAGAAGAGCTGGTAGCTGTCAGTATCTTCTTCCCATCCAGGTTTGGATGAGAAAAAAAAGACTCCCTGCTTGATCATGAAACTGCTAACAGCAACAAGATAACATTTGTTTTTTTCAGCTTTTTGTACAGACTGCACCAACAGGCTTTTTAAGGAACAATTTTACGCAGGGCAGCCATATTGGATTTTGAGATATTTCCTGCTCAGACTGAATTTCTCAAAATTAAATCTCAAAACTATACCTTGAGCTTTGTGGTTTTAAAATGATGTGATGTGAAAACTTTGCAGGGTACGAACTTTTGCTAAAATTTTTTTACTTAACCTGTAGTTCTAAACCAGGCATGCCCAAAGTTGGTCCTTGAGGGCCGCTGTCCTGCAGGTTTGATTTTCATTGATAGTTGATGAAAAAGGCTTTTGCTGAACTGCAATCATCAGAAACAGCTCTGCTAAAGCAGAGAAGCCTCTAAAACCTTCAGGACCGACTTTAGGCATGCCTGGTCTAAACATAATGCTTTGGAATTTGGTATTCTGAGCTAATCTTAGTGGATAATTCTTTGCTGAATTACTCAAACCCTGTCCCATGTCATTTGTACACTGCGATAATTGGTTAGAAAAATGTCCCTCAGAACATTATTAGCTAAAACGTTTACAAAAAACATCCACCCACATTTAAAGGTTTCAAGAGATCCGATCATTTTAGTCCGAGTACTGTAGGTCTAAGTCGACTGTACCGTCCGTCACAACCAGCCGCACCCTTTTGGGTTTTGTGGCCCCCATTGAGTGCGACGTAGGAACCGTTCCGTAGTGTGAGGGGCCCTGGTGTTCCCCGGGTTGGCACTGCTGTGGAATGTCTTTCCTGCAGTGGTCTTCCTGACCTCTAAGTCCAGCAAACCCATCCAAAGAGGATGGATTAGATAGCTGGGGTCCACATGGCTCCAGAACCAACCGCCCTTGAGTTCCTGAGGGCTCCATCAGGCAGTGGTAGGTGTAGTTAGTGGAGCCCGGGTAGCCATCAGAACCGTCCCTAAGGCCAAGGGTAAGCGAGTGGTCTCCACTGAAGTTCAGCACATAGGGGGGGCCTTGGTAGCCGTAAGAGAAGGAGGCAGAGGGCTGAGTCTTGGGTGCTGGTGTGCCAGGAGGTGTGCTGTGGGCCAGCTGCGGGCTGCTCTGCTGAGAGATGGGTGAGAGAGACGAGCTGTAACTGAAATCATAGGCGTCCTGCTGCGTGTAACAAGGCTGGTGTTTGTCAGAGGTTTTGTCATGTTTTAAACTTTTGTCCTGCGGGGACGTGAAGCAGTCGGGCCCTTTGCTGGGAAAAAAGAAGGGCCTGGGTAGCTCAGAAAAGTTTTTGTATCCCATGTTCGTTTCGGCGCCCTGTTTGTCAGACGCCATCTTACTTTTACCAAAAGAATGTGAAACAGATGAATTAGGTCTGCTGAACTGAAGGTTGGGCCTAGAGTCATTGCTTGAGGACCCAAGATGGCCAAACTCCTTTCCGAACCCCTGAAATGAAATACTGCTTTTCTGAGACATGTTTTCAACAAACTTGTGACTCTGCTGAATCTTTTCAAAAGGACCAGGCCTCGCAGTGAGCCTGGGGCCTGCAGCCGAGGCATCAGAGGCCACCGAGTCCTTACACGGCGCGCTGTACAGGTTCTGGGTCTGGTTCCCTCCCTGAAACTTCAGAACCCTGTGGATAACCGTAGAGGGTTTTTCCTGGAAGTTGAATTGACTTTCAGGAGGATTGGGATTTTTTGTGGAGAAGAGCGGTGGGGAAAGGAATCTGTTAGACATTTGTGCTCCTCTGACAGTGTTCTGCTGGTTGCTTGGAAATGATTGGGATTTACTTGGAATGCTCATGCGATGGAACGGGCCCTGCGTTTTGAGGCCGAGCTGGGTTTTTGATTGGCTGGTGCTGGGCTTGAGGCTGATGGAAGGCTGGCTTAAAGAGATGGGATTCTGAGACGAGGTTCCGCTGAAAATACGAGGCTTGCTGGCGACAGACAAGGACTGTTGAGTTCTGAAGTCCTCTTTGGAGAGCCTCATTCCTGGATTTTTGCTCATAAGGCGATCTTTGCTCACACCGTCAGAGTTTACTGAGGCTGAAAAACCAAAACCGGAGTTGGCTCTGTCTTTGGGGGCTTCCTTAGCTTCACATTCCAACTGAACAGAGTCACCCTTGGAAGAAACCAAGCCTGGAAAAAACTGCAAATCTTCATTGGTAAAGTTATTGCCAGGACTGGGGGGACCGAGATAGGGAGTTTCGGTAGTCCAGGTGTCAGCTGGGCTGTGGGAGAGGGGGCTGCTGAAGGGGTCGGTGGGTGGATCCAGGGAGCATAGGTCTGAAGGGGAGGATGGCAGCATATTCTGCGGCTGATCGTACCCCTCCAAGTCGAGGCACTGGAAGTCCAGGATGTCATCGCAGCAGTTGGTGAAGCTCGGTTCGGCAGACAGCATGTTGTCTGCGGGTGGGAACGGCGGAGACCGAGACGGGGTCTGGATCACAGAGCTGGAAGCGCTGGAGCAGGATGGCGCAGGCTTTTCCAGCGTCTGAGATGAACACAAGCCTTCAGAGAGCCTGGAGAGGCTGTTGTCAATTTGCTGGAGTGTGTGACTCAGACAAGTGGTGGGCGTTTCAACCAGGCTGCTCTTGCGCTGTTTGTCCACTTTAAGCCTCTGTTTCCTCCCTCCGCTGTTTGTCTCTGACCTTTCTGCGACTCGCTCCCCAGCCGAAGACGCAGCTTCCGTTTTGGTCTCGTTGAGAGGAGAAGACAGCGTCAGCGGGGAAAGAGACAGTGAAAACGGCGGTGGTTCTGTTTTCAGAGAAGGAAGATTGCCGTCGAGTCTCTGATTAGACTGACTCTCATCTTTGAACATTCCATAATCACAGAGACCTTTCTTGGGTTTTCCTAAAATGTGACTTTTCACCTCCCTCTTTAAATTAGCATCAGCTGTTAGGTCTGGCGGGATGAGCCCCTTTTTACTGTCCACCTCCCAAATGTCCTCCATCTTCCTCCGCAGTTTGAGAATCGGAAGTGGAAGACCGTTTGAACCCAGTTCTGGCTCCAGCTTTTGTTGGGATGCATTCGCAAACAGGCAGCAGCTTTTGGAAAGACGGTCCTCCACTTTAGTTTCTACAAGCATCTCCTTGGCACCGTTCAGACTCTCTGCTTTATCGCAAAACTGATCTAGCAGCAGTTGGCTTTCTGATTTCTCTTTGATTTCGTTTTTCCCATCATGACATTCACTTCGCTCACATTTACTTTCCTGAACCACGTCTGATTGGCCTTCAGTGGAGCAGAGCACAGCCTGTTTTTTGTGACTTTTGCCATTTCTTCGTATTAAACGCTGCAGTCGGTTCTTGGACTTCTGACTTGCTTGAACATGAGCCTCCATCTCTCGGTTCAAGACGGACACAGAGTCCATGATAGCTTTAAAAGGATCACATGCTGTTGAATCGTCATTGTTTTCCGATTTAAGTAGCATATTCTCGCCCTGCACGTCCCACACCTTCCCTCTTCTCCTCTTGAGACGGATCTTAAAATCAAAGCCTGCTTTGGTCTCCTCAGAGCTGTTGTCTTCAGGGGAAGATGTTTCCATGTTAGTTTGCGGTTCCTTTTGTTGGATCTTGGGTGTGTCCTCTGCAGGGTTATCATCCTGAACCTTGTTGGTATCCTCCTCATCCTGTTTTTCTAGTTTACATTTCCGGGCCTTTCTCAGCAGGGGGCCTCGTGGGGATTCGTTAGATCTGGACCGAAGTATTCTTCTAACAGAGGTTTGTTTCTGGATCTTTCTGGGAGCTGCCTTGGATTTATTATCTTTTTTGACTTTGATGCTTTCTCCTGAAGATTCAGACGGGTTCTGTTGCGGTGCGGGAGGTGACATCATCTTAGATGCGATTTTCTGAGATGTATCGGAGGCAGACACCAAACTTTGCTCGGGGTTGATCTCCACAGAGCTGCGAAACGTGCGTTTTTTTAGAGGTATGTTAGACTGAGGATTAGCTTCTGGTTGAAGCTGAGTTTTAGCTGATACAGGAGGCCTGTGAGGTAGTGAGTCGAGGGAGGTGGCCGGAGGCTCACTGTTCTTGAGCTCAGACTGGATTGAACTTTTCTCAAACTTTTTCTCACTTGAGTCCATCCCGACAGAAGCTGGTGGTTCTTGGCCTGGGCTTTCCCTGCTGCTTCGCATCTCGTCTGCTTTCATTTTCGGCGTCCCTCCTTTTATGAACCTCCCCTTAGCTGAACGATTGCACCTACCTCTGTTCGTCACTTTCTGCATCTTCTGATCTAAAAAAGACTTATCTTGTCTTAATATATCTGACAGTAGAATCTTTGCTTGTTTTATAACCACATCTTCCTGACGATAAATCAAACTCCTCTTTATCTGTCCTGTTAGCTTCACTGCTTCTTTCTCTGCTTTTTTCACAGGCTGAATGTTATTCTGTCCTTTATTTGCTGCATTCAGCACCACTTTACACTCAGCCTCGTCTGCTCTCTTCACTTTTTTAGCTTCACTTTTAGCAGCAGTTAATGGAGGGTCTCTTTTCTCTCCCTGCTGCTCTGTTTGCACCGTTTTTATTTCCATAAGTCTCTCCTCCCTCTGCTTCTCAGCTTCTGATGAACTCCTAGCTACTTCGGCTGCATGCTCTTTCTGAGCATCGGTTCCATCTTTGCCCTCGACAATCACTTCCCTCGCTCCTCGTTTGCTCTTAGCTGTGCAGACGTCTGACCTGAGAACCTGTTTTTTTGGCAGGTTTCCAGGTTTGGGACGCGACCGGCCACTTGCTTTCCCTAAAACACATATTTTCTCGTCTTCCTGGGTTTTTTCGGCTTCTGGTGGTTTTTGGATTGATAACCTCGTAAGGTTGACTGTAACGTATTGCTTCAGGGATATTACTGGATTGTCAACAGCCTTATCTGATCGGTTAGTGACAGCCTGTAAGCTTCCAGACACAGATGAAGCTTGGACCGTCTTCCGCTTGGCATCTGGCTTTTGAGCCGTGGCACTGACACTAGATTCAACTTTATTGCTTTGACTTTCAGTTACTGCTTTTTCATTGTTCTCCTGTTTGGTTGCAATGCGGTTTTTGCCCTCCTTAGCAAGTGGACAACCTATTGTAGTGTTAGCCATTGTTGTGCTACTGGACTCGGTCTGCTGTGTTTTATGAACCATGTTTTTGGCTCTTGAGCAGCTCTTCACATGTCCGGCCTTCTTGTCGGCCGCTTTGACTGATTTGCCATTAAAGTTGAGCGGCATGGGGGAATTTGAAGTAAAGGACATCGGATTTTCCGTAGTTCCGTTTTTTTCCTCACCGGCTGATTTAATCTTCTTGGACCAGCTTTGCTTCACCTCCTCCAGCTGCTGCAGCACAGCCCTCTCTTTGCTTTTGGGATCCTTGCAGTGGATCAAAAACTCCACCGAATGGCGCCGTACTCTGATCCGCAAGTCCTTCAAAGTGACCTCGGACAGTGCTGGAAGCGTCCTGCAGCGTTTCACCACAGAGGATTTCAGCAGGTGCTTTCCCGATCGTCTCTGCTTCTCCCGTCTCCACCTCTTGGTTTCGTTCAGTTTTTTGTTCTTGAGGGCGTTTCTCCTCATCTGCTGGGTGAAGGAGTTCCTGGAGGGGATGGCTGTGAACAAAGGAAGATGAAAAGTAAGCAGCTGAACTAAACGCTGTCATCTGCAAAGCATGAAATTATTTGAAAATGTACAAATAGGAGGAAATAAAAAAAGAGTTTCCATCCAAATAAATAGAGTTTGGCTTTAATGGTTTATTTCAGCTGTCGGTTTTCTATGCAGTAATGAGTAAATAACACAATCTAATAAACGCAACTTCATACGTTCAACTATATTTGTTAATAAATGGTGGTTATGGTTGAGTTATGGATCATTTATGGACTATTGTCACTGGAATAAATAATTATCATTGCAACAAAAACTTCTAAGAATTCGAGGAAGGATATAAGAACTGTGAATAAGAAAGAATCCAGAAACCTTCAAGGTTCAAACCCGATATGAACTGGGAACTGATCCTAGACCATCCTAACTACCCAGAGGGACACAGCTAAAGATGAAATCTACATCTATAAAGAAAAAGTGACGCTTTGAACCCTTGCACTGACTGCCGAGCACGGTGCTGGCAGCATCATGTAGGGGGTCCATTTCTGGTTCAGAAGAGGATTGTTATCCCCTCCAAAACCCCAAAACTTTATTCCTATACACCAGTTTGAAAAAACTGCATCCGTTATTCTAGACACACAGGTTCCTCACTCCTAAAGGGCTACCAGACCATGGGAGCTGTGATCTGGTGTGAACAACGGCATCCATAACTGAAATTCCTTAAAATTGGAACAAAAGAGCCAACTCTATAGCCTTTAATGTTATTAACCTTGCAGATTGGAATGTTAATGACATTAGGATATCTATAGCATAATCCTAAAATCGACCAATTACATCTGTTTGTTTAAGGAAGTTATTGATGGCCAAAACACATTGGGGTCAAAATAAAAGTTGGGGTGCGTATATATATATATATATATATATATATATATATATATATATATACACGCCCCCATATTAGGCGTGGAACGATTCACAAAATCCACGGTTCGGTTCAATTCACGGTTTCGTGGTCACGGTTTTCGGTTCGGTTCGATTCGGTATATGTTGATTGTTAAACCGAAATCCCATAAAAATTTATGAAATTAATGAAAAAATCCCCCAAAAAATAATGGATTGTAATTATTTT